TTTTGTAATGATGTAGTTTGAAATTTTCCTCAGCGAGGCATATGATTTTCAATATATAGGAATTACAGGAGTATTAAAGTATAACTATAGTAAAACTATTGCTTTTAATATATAGGTAAAAAATGTCTAACAGCAGAAACTTTTTTTTCTAAAGATGTTTCATAAATTAAAACACGTGGAACAGGCTCACTCTTGTCCAAACTTTTGTGCTACATTCCTATTTCACTTCCTAATTTGAAATGTTGATAGATTTTTTACTTTGAAATTAACTACTTGAAATAATTCTCATCTCAATTATAATCAGTTGAATTGTTTAACAAAAAAGAATTCCAAATATAAAACTTCTGGGTGGCCTTAAAAGAAGGACATGAAAATTCTTGGTCAATCGATTATTTCTGTCAAGTAAACCAACAAAAATAAACAACAAAACATGAATATTTGTTTATGAAATGTGCACAAGGAGAAAGCATGATGTATGGATATATTCTACATATATTCAAAATATATTTGAGATAAAAAGGTAGGTAAGTTCATTTAATTTTTTTATTTGGAAAAATCACATCGAATTGATTTTGTAAATTGTAGTACATTCCACGTTTTTCCCCGTGGGTTCACCAATAATTGACTACACTGAATAATCAAACTGAACTTTATTTCGCTAGAAATACAACAAACAGTTCAGCTAAAAATTTCAACTATTATTTTAATTATTATTTTCTTCGCGTACCGTACTGTACCGTCCACATGACTGTGTACTTGACTGTCTCGATACGCTCGCAGCCAGCGTTTAAAAATCGTAATTGAATTTTTGCCAAAGTTCCATCGACATCGGTAGCATGACTCTCGCTGTTTCTCGAGCGGCAGGGGTCATATGGGCATCCCAGCGCTATTAGCTAAGTCACGTTTGGTTTATGGTTACCAGTGGTGGCCGACGTTATTTTCTTTCGGGAATGATTTACAACACTACCCCCTTCCCCAAGGTTGTTCGCCCTGAACAACATTCCAAGAGGGAACATCACGACCCATGTAAGGACTTAGCCTCTTTATGTGGACAACTTTAGGCTTGCTTCTGGGTGACAATTGGATTCTGTACACCAGATCTTTCATCTTTTTGATTACCAAGTGAGGTCTTTGTCATGGTCTCACTTGGGACACAAACCTTTCCGACGTTGAGGTTGGTAGAGCCCCACTGCATCGCCCTCTTTGAAGCTCACTGGTAGCGACTTTTTGTCAAATCTTATTTTCATCCTGTCGCTGGTGAACTGTAATTTGGTCCTGGCAAATTCGTGTACAATTTACAGTCTCTCCTTCAGGTCATTCACTTACTCTGAAAGAGGTACCTTTCTATCAATACATCTCTACCAATACATCTATTGGAAGTTTTAGTTCCCTACCAGTTAACAACATGGATGGTGTATAACCTGTCGCATCATGTTGGGAGTCTTCTTTATTACCAACAGAGTCATCATTTCCTTCCATAAATCCGATTCGAAGTTGCGGCTCTGATCCGAGTGTAGTTCTTGGGGTACTCCGTGTCTGGCAATTACGTTCTGCAGCTGGGCTTCTGCCGCCATTTAAGCCTCTTGGATGGATTAGGCTACTACTTCAGGCCATTTGGAAAAGTAGTCCATCGCAACCATACGGTCTTGTTACCGAATGTGGTCATTCAACTGCTTCAACTTTCCTCTTTGCCTTGTCTTCGGACCCTTTCTCGAATAGCACAGGTCACAGCGCTTACACCACTCTTCCACGGCAATTGACCCAATTGTACCTCTCCCGCACTCTCGCTAGAGTTCTATTTACTCCGAAATGCCCTCCAGTGCGACCAACGTGAAGCTGTTCGAGGATACTCAGGATACACGTCTTAGGAAGGATCATCTGGAATCTGTGTGTTCTTTCATCCGGGCTTTCCCATTTACGGGTCAGTAGGTTATCTCGAATGCTCACGGAGTCCCATCGAAGGGAGAGAGTAACCCTTTTCCTGCTGGACGTGTCGATTTCGACAAAATAAAGACTTGAGTTGTCTAAAAAACAAACATTTTGAATTCTTTGTGCCGCGGGCGACTCTTTTTGTCAACAACGAAATGTCCCATCGGCAGGCGGAAAGATCAAAAGGTTTCAGTGTTTTGTCTGTGTTTTTGTAAACTGACATTATTACTGTATGGTGGGTATGAGTTTAGGTTATCGGCATTAGTCGATCTATTTTTATTCATTAGTTGTATTAATGTTTATTTCCTTCCTTCCTTTGTAGAACATGAGCGGAAAAAAGCAATGGACAGTTGAAGAATAGAAAATAGTTCACAACAAAACATGCGACTCGAAACTGAAACAAGTGTTTTGTTTCTGTTTTTGAAAAAGAAATTAGTCGCAAGCGAGTCTGTTTGGTGGAAATACATCGTAAATAATGTAATAGTGTCACATAAAGTCTCACACCAAAACAAAATAGTGAATTGAATAGTTGCTTGTTGCTGTCGTCGACCATTTTCACATAGTGAACTCTGTTTATAAAAACACAGACAAAACACCGAAACAATTTAATCTTTCTGCCTGCTGACGTGACATTTCGTTGTTGATAAAAACGGTCACCCGCGACACAAAGTTTTCGAAATGTTTCTCATTTTAACAACTCAAGTTTTTGTTTTGTCAAAATTTACTCAGTTACTGTTTTGTTGTGATTTTTTCTTGAGATGTCTTTGTTGTGAACCGGATTTCAATAGATAGACATTAATAAGCACAGGAAAATATCTAATTGATTGATTTAAATAATTATTTAATTAGTATGTTCTTTTTTCATTACTTATAGTTCATTGATTGTATACAGTATGAAACAGCCAAAAGGAATAATTTTTTTTTCAGTTACTGTGCTTATTTATAAAAAAACATGAAACCGGCAACCCAAAATATTAGGTATAGTATTACATCATACATCATGCGTCAAAATTTCAATTCCAAATTCAGTAGCTCTAAAATGAGGATCGCATTTCTGAAAAGAAGATAAGTGCTTGTGATAAATCTGAAATAAACACTTTTCTCATTCACCAAAAATTCTTGTGGGCTTGTGGGCTTTGTAAAAATGTCTTCATTCTCTACTCAAATATTTAATCATTTTTGAATCTGATGTAAACATTTTATGCCCGACAAAATTCGTTACAAGCGTCAAAGAGCCAACAGCTAATACTGTTTAGTTTTTGATAACAAAAACCGAAAAACCACAGAATATCAAAGTACCAGCGAATACAATCGTGCTACACGTATTCATCTGCCCACAACATGACATTGGGAAGTAACGAAATACATAAACACATTATTTTATATAAAGTAACAATTGATATTACAGTGGCGGATCTGTCCCTCTAAACTCTTCAACTCATTTAACTAGAATTAATTTTGGTTTGGCCCGGCTGCAGTTATAGTGGATTGCACTTGACTCTGACCACCATACAGTAACCATCGGCTGTTTTGGTGGGCTTTCGTCTTTGGGAAGTGCCTGGGTGGCTCATCGGTGTCCAACCACTGTCCTGAACGTCTCCTGTTGTCGTAGAGGATCCATTTTTCATCACACGTGACGATACGATCCAAAAAAGGATCGTTTTGGTTACGCGAAAGCAAAGAAGAGTGAACCTTGAAACGTGGCAATTTCTGTCGATCGTTCAAATCGTGGAGCACCCACTTTTCGAGCTTTCTGGCCTTTCCAATACGTTTTGAGCCATCAAAAACCGCATGGGAGTTGACGCCTAGTTATTCCTCCATCCTACGCACTGTTTGTAATGGGTCAGTCTCCACCAGGGTCCTAAAATCTTCGTCTTGGATTACTGTAGGTCGACCACTTTGTGGCATATTCCTTCCAAATTTAACACGTCATAGTCGTGATTGAACTCATGTCCTCCTGCTAAAAGATAGCTGGCAGATGTGGAATTAATACTTCTATTCAAGAAACTACTTACATGATCTTTAATTTGTTTGGAAAAAATCCTCCCCGTTTGGCCAACATAAAGTTTTGAACTTTATTTGCTTGAATTGTTATTTGTTCTGTAAGCCACGTCCAAGCATCCCTTTTTTGAAAGAAGAGCGGTATTATTGGTGGGCATTGAATGAAATCAATTTAGCGTTATCAGGAAGAGTTACGTTTTAAATATCATTCACTAATTGATATGTATTATTTATACTAAATTGCGGCTTGAAATTAGTATAGGTTTGAATTAATTTTGGAGCCGTTATAAACGACACCACACGTCTAATCGGGAAATTGGTTTTATGTAATTCAATGGGAGAGTTTGGGTGGTCACTGCCCTGCATTTATCACTTCCATCTTCCATTCATACCCAGCTCTATTGTCTTGAGGGTTTCCTTTACCTCTCTCCCTCGTACAGAGTTGTAGGATCATTCCTCAGGTTATGGAAGCTTCCTAAATTTAAGGAAATCTAGAGTTTTGCCTGTGAAGTCGTTTTTATCAACTCAATAACCGTTCGACCTTTATCTGCTCACGAAAAAGTCGCTTCATAATGAGATTAGCTTTTTGTTTAATTGATTTTGCAATTTTCATTTCTCTGTATTTCATTAGTTCGGGCTTCCATTGTCTAACATTATATAAATTGATTTGAAATCCCTGAAAGAATCTGTAAAAAATTAAAAAGGTTACAATGAAATAAAATACAAGCAACAACCAAAAAATTGAACTATTAACACGGGACGAAATTAAAAGATTACAAGCCAATTTACTTCACGACGTTTCGAATCTATCCACAATGGCCGTCGGGTGATAACATTTCTCTATTAGACTGAATTTGATCAACAGGTTCTAATTTCAATATATTTACAGCGGCATGTTCATTATAATTAGAAGTACCTCTCAGAGCCAGCTCCATTTCTATTTCTAAACATTCTATGCTTGCAGAATTAATATACGGGTGTCATGTTACAACTGAGGCCTTTTTCACTACGCTCATGGTTTATCTCCTTTTCTTGTCCTATCAATATATTATGTAAACGAGAGCCTGGTTCGGTCAATTTCGTGCTGCGCAACCGTTCCAATGACAAATGTCCAAATCGACAAGAATTCAGTAACTTAACAGTAAAGTTATAATATACTCTTTACTACAATTATTTCATAATTTAGGTACCAAAATAAAATTGGCCAATATGAATATTCAGACTTTAGTCTTCAGTGTTGCTTTGATAATGTGCAGTTTGAAATCAGGTGAGCTTTGCAACATATCAGTATTGTTTATCCAATCTATTTCGCTTCAACAACATAATGGTCAAGTGTGTTGATTAATGCCTATGTTTCCGGGAAATTTCGCTACTGATATATTTTTGTTTTACCACTTTTACATAAATCATGTCTAGTAAAATAAGTTTACGGGTTTATTGATTTCTTTCATTGCAAGAATGAGAAATGATCAGTAGCGGCACCAGTACGAACACCGTTAAAGAGTCTTAAAGGTGTTTAACTTTCTTTTTTCATTTATTAAAATTGCGTCCAGAAAATAATGATCTTGATAAAAAAATGCAAGTTATTGGACAATGAAAAGTACAGTCTGGTTTTTTCAACCACACATCACCAGAAGATGGCAAATGAGACTTTGCCGAAACGTTGTGAAAATAATCCTTATGGGGATAAAATACACAGAACACGGAGCGAAACCCGAGAAAACAGCTCATACTTTATCCGTGAGAATCTTCGAGTTAACATATATATACAGTGTGTCTCACTTCTCATGGAAACACCCCCGTATCTTCCGTAATATTCGAGATAGAACGATGAAACTCTCTGGACTGATGGAAATGCTCAAAATGCACCTACCACCTGAATAGGGTTGGACAAAGTGATGTACACTTTCCGCCACTCGCGATGTAACAACCCATTTTTACGGTAAAACATATTAGGGGGTAAAATAGGCTCAAAATTCCTTCAGAGTCGTGATCAGGACTACCAACTTACTACGATTACACTTTTTTTCCTGAAAAAATTTCAGTCCTGAAAATTCCGAATTTGTTTCACTTCTCATGGAAACACTCCCGTATCTTCCGTAATAATTGAAGTAGATTTTTTTTGGTTTTGACATCAAAACATGAACGAAATTGTTTAAGAGAAACTCGACTTTTGTTTTCACATAAATAATTAATTTTTTATTTTGTTGTTAGAAAAGTTATTCCTTCTCAATAAGAGAGAAAATGGTAATTTTGTTAGAGGAACGGAAACATGTAATCAGTGAGATTTTAGGATGGTTAATGTTAGTTCATATTCTCATTTTCCCAGTATTTAAAAAAAAACAAGGATATTTTGTGGCGAAAAATGTTATGTAGTTCAAAATTCTTTCGAAGTACTACTTTTAAAATCACATTTTCAATTAAAAAACAAAACAATCAATTTGAAATGACTTAACTGTTGACAATTTTATATTTTCGTGCCTTCTATGAAATTTCCCTCCAATCGAACACATTTTTCTATGCGCCTTCTATTATTTCCTCCAACTCTTCTCAGTTCTCTAGGTGGGATTTCTCTACACGCTTATATAATTCTTGCACGGAGATCTTCCTTATTTGTTGGCCTATCCTTATAAACTTTATTTTTCAAGTTACCCAATAAAAATCCAGTGGAGTTAAATCTGGGGATCGTGGTGGCCATACTACGAGAGGGCTATTGGGTCCTATCCATTTCATAGGTAAATTCCTATTCAACCAAAACAATTTTTGCTTGAAGTGACAGACGTGCCATGTTGAACTTTGTCAATCAAAATGAGCTGATATCAGTTAAAATGGGAACTTCAGAAATATAAAAATATGAACAGGAACTCACGAACAGAAAACAACTGGAAAACGGGAACAATATCCAACACAAATACAGGAACAATAAACATAATGGGAACAAAAACACGGCAGAAACAACAGGAACAACGGTGATTCAAAGAACAACAATACTAGAAACAACAAATGCAATGAAAACTGTTCTGGGGGTTAATACAACAAGAACTTTCAACAATATTGTCAGGTTGACAGTAAATATCAATGAGCAACTGTTTTCCATGGTGATTTCAGGGCACCGCATGATTCAATGAAACTGATGTAATTCAATCCCTTCAAATGATTTCAAACAACAATTCAGCAAGTAGGTGAAATAATCTAAATTCAACCTATCCACCGAGTGCGATTTTTTCTTTAAAAATATGTTGCAATGAGTATGAAGATTAATTTTGTTTCAGATGGTAAAATGTTTCCTCAATATTTTGATAAAGGGCCCCGCACATTTCTTATGAGAAATGGCTTACCTTGATTTTTGGCGAAATTTTGATATGTTGTAGTTCTTGATGTGCTGATTGAAAGTGTCGACAGCCAAAGCTCAAAGTACAGTTTTCGAGATGTGAACCTTTGAATATAGATTTTTTCCATTTTTTGCAGTTTTTGCTCATCAATTGAAAGCCTCTCCCTACTGGTTGGGATAGAATTTGGATGTTCAGCAACCAGAATTAGTTTAACGAATAATCTTCAGTTATAATAGATGCGGCTATCTATAATTTTTCATACACTGCTTTACACTATCTCGATAATCTGAGAATGTGGTGCTGTGACATTTTCCTCAGATAGGCTCAAAATGGATGATAGCATCTCACAGCATCTGTATCTTTCATACCTGAGAGTACTCTCCAGATAGAATGAAGGGGTTCAAGTATTGGAAGCGAACTATTTTGCGCCGTTATATGTTTTACCGTAAAAATGGGGTGTTCCATCGCGAGTGGCGGACAGTGTATCCAACCCCATTCAGTGGTAGGTGCATTTTGAGCATTTCCATCAGTCCTGAGAGTTTCATCGTTCTACCTCGAATATTACGGAAGATACGGGGGTGTTTCCATGAGAAGTGAGACACACTGTATATATATGAATTAGGTACATATATTTTTGAGGAATACTTCAAATAAAATGAAGTGAATGAAATGTAACTTTCCTAGATTGCTGGTGAAAAACGTTGAAAAAGGAAAAATTAATTTCAATTCATATGAATTAGCTAGATATAAAACTTTTTATTATTTCATATCTCTCATAATGTAGAAGGTTGAAACCCAGAAAGAATCTAAGAAAATTTGTTGTAATTTTACGTGTACCATTGGCTGTGGAAGAATTTTAAAAAGTAGAATAAACGATGTACTACTATGAAGTTTTTAACGTGATGTTTGTTGCATATCTACAAGGAATACATTCTATCAGAAATCAAATATTTTGCAGGTTATTCCCTTGAATGCTACACGTGCAATACCACCACACTTTCAAAGCCTACTGATAATCCTTGTAAAGGATTGGAGACTGTAACAAAATGCCAGGATCCTGCACAATGTTTAACTGCAACTTATTTGTACGAAGGTAAAGTATATTTAATATAGCGCGTTCATGAAGTAACGTATACATTTATATTATTGGCTAAAGCCAAGATATTATTGAAAACTGCAAGCAGACCGATTTTTTATTTTGATTCAAGGTGGAGTGGGGTAAGTGCAGATTGGTTTTTATAAAGTTAGATTATAAACCTATACATTTTCGAAGTGTAACAGGAATACGTTATATCGCTAGTGAACAAAGCATTACGTAAGTATTGTTTCGGAAAATTTGTTATCACTGTCCCCGTTTTTACTTTTATACTCACATAATAACAGAAAATTTCACTACGTGTCAATAATCCGCACTTTCCCGTCAAAACGGGGCCAGTTACAAGCATAATGAAACCTTCTTTACGGGGCAAGAGCGTAATTCATAACAAATCTATATTCAACTGCTTTTCGCCGCATTCAGTTATCTTGCTTGGTTCAGAGTTGTTTTCTGTGAAAAATACAGACATCTTTTGGTGGAATTTTCAGCAAGGGTTTGGTTGATTGAAACGTCTTCGTATTGTGGAATATTTAAGCAAGCTCTTTTGTACTCGTAAAAATGCAGTAAGTAAAAGGGAAAAAAACTCTTAAACAAAATAAACTAAGTATGTACTTATACTGCCACTGGTCTCAAATATTTTTGCCTTCGAAAATTATTAATGACGGAACAATGTCTTCAGTAGCAGAAGCAGCAATTAACACAGATATTTTTTCACTGCCAGGAGCGCTAATAGTTCGTTTTCAAACCCTAACTCTTTGATTGTATTTTCCAACAATGTGAAGTATGTGTCAATTATGAATGGATTACTATTTCTTTTGCGGGCTACTTTATCGTACTTTTGTGGCTTCTTTATCGACAAATTATTTCTTTTGGCGATCCCAAGACACCAATCTTCACCGGGGGTTCCGTCCTTGAAGGGACGGAAAAGGATTTTGATTCGACCCCACGTCTTCCCTTTATATGGTCCATTATTGTGTTTAATGGTACCTATACCATATTGCTTGCTAGCTTCATAAGCATTAATACGTTCGCCTTTAATATCCCCAACCGGTTCTTCTAGCGATTCTCTCGAATAATCACCTCTGTTGGTTGTTCTAACATAATCGCGGACCATGGCAAACCTAGAATAAAAACATTAATAAATCACAAAAAATCAAAATTTCTTCATCAAAATTTCAATGGTCATTCGAAGCTGGGGCAAGAGCAGACCGATATGCAGTTTCCCCGCCACTTTGGTCTGCACAGGCCCCAGATGGTAATATCAACGGGGCAAGAGCAGAGTTATGATTTTTAAGTACACTTATGAAAAAAGCTAAATATTTCTATGTCTGAAATAGAATTCAAAGTATATTCTCATGTAGGTACTTATCAAAATTTACAGTCTTCAACATAATATTGTCCAATTAATAAAATAACTGAAACATTACTTGATTGTTTACCGCTGACACCTGTTTCTGTCGGTTGGTTAAACAGACGGGTTCTTCAATTTCACTGCGCCATCTATATTAAAGAGGTAACAGCAACCGCTTCTCTCTTTCTACATGTGAATAACTGTAATTTGATTCATATAATAATAAATATAGCCGCACCAGTTACGCATTTACCCCACTTCATGTCACTACTTATTGAATACAAATTTGATATATACCTAAGGGTGACCCACTTTCCAGTCATGAAATTACCCATATTTTTAAATGGAACACGTTATTAGTTTTTAATGATTACCAAGCTGATTAAAATAATATCAGAAGTTGTGTCAAGTTTGCAGTGGGAGGGAGGGTAGCATTACCGTCCCGACTTCTCACGGAAAACATCGTCATATTCAAACCAATTCACATAAAACAGTGATATAAAAATTGATTGGGTCATTTTTCAGTTTATCGCGTTAGAAAAGATACTTTGGACGCTTTGAAAATATGTTCATCAAGGTTCACAACTTTCACAAAAAAACGTCATTTTATAGCTTCAGAAGTGATCTTATTAAATCTCAGTAACATTTACGTTGTAGATCACATAATTTTCCACAAAATTAATAATTCACACACTCTTTTACAGATATCAGTGCCAATATAAAACGATATACTACAATAAAATCATGTTATGCTCTCATGAATGGTCAAGAATGCGACAACTTCCTGAAGAATTTGAAGACCATGAGTGCACCATCAGCTAAAATTGAATATTATGAGAACAAGTGTACAGTTTGTCAGCAAGGGACAGGAGGGCCCTGTAACAGATCTTCTGCAGTGTTGATAATTCCATCTACCAGTATGCTTCTCTTCTTCGTCTCTTATATGTTGCAGAAATTATTTTAAATACTCAAAAAGGGTAATAAAATAAAAAGGTTAGGTATTTCAATTTTTTGTTACTGCAGGGGAAAATAAAGTTAAGGGTTGCAAGATTTATATTTTTTCTAGGAATATAGGATAGTTTGTCATGTCACACGGTCGGTGTAACGAAACCAAAAACAGTATGAGGCGTTTTCAAGATATTTTTCTTGTTTTGAACCAGTGACCGCTATCGACGTAATGGATGAAATAAAGTCCTTGAAAAACTCCAAAAGCTTCGACATATTCGATACCAACTCAAACCTTTTGAAAAAACTTATCGATGTTGCTACTCAGCCATTTACAAGTTTAATAAATATATGCCAATTGTAAAATTGATTTAGGGTGGTACACTTGTATGGGTGGTATTACTGATTACCTACCTGTATGATGTACCTGTATAGCATAAATAGCATTAGTTTTGAGAAGTTTCTAGTTTTATCTTCCTCTTGAAGATGATCACTTGGTGATCAAAACACATGGAGACAAACGTAAGAGTATGACCACGTGTTTCACACATCGAATCAATAATATACTCTTTTTTGAAATAACGTTGTTTTATGGTCGCCACTAATACCTTTTTCGTTGGAATCTTTTCGGGTATTTCCATGTCATGATTTCGCGTGAAATCAACACTATCTGCTTTTTTTGTGTTATTGTTTGGTATTGTAGCCAATAACCGACAATGATACGAAGCGTTATCTATAACAATAACCGAATTTGGAGGAATATTTGGGAGAAGCTGCTCAGTGAACCAGGTTTCGAATAAAGCCACAGTTATATCTTCGTGGTAATCAGCAGACGAATCTTTTATATTTTTGGCCGACAGAAGATTTTGACTTCATATTCTAGGGTTGTGAAGTATTTGTCAGCAGCTTCAAAATGATGTGTCACAAGACTCCCTTTCCATTTAATTTTTTTTCCCAGATGCATTAATTTCATTATCCCAAATTTCAATTTTCTGAGTTGTCCCGTTCAAAAAATAAAAGGGGGGACATTAAAGAAATGATTTGAAAGTTTTTCGTCGGTTTGTTTAATTGTACCAATTATATATGAAATCAGTCAAACTAGTTCAATGAAGATGAGTATTTTTATTACGTTGTGAATATCTTGAATAAACTTGACCTGAATTGCTTGTGTATTTTATTTTTCGGCAACATTGTCAACAAAAATCGTGCTTGGCAATCTCTGTCAAGGGCCACATATAAATAAAATAATTTCCTGTTGAGAAATGAGGGAAACGTTAAGTTCAAATACATGACGTGTTTACAAACTTATGCTGTAGTAATGAGTAATTAGGTGAAAATGAATATTTTTAAGATCGTCGCCATGAATTTTACTACCATTACGTATTTGACCAGGAATTAGAGTAGGGCTTGAAATCACAACCTGCTTTAAACAAATTCAATTGGCTAGTACTGCAGAAACGGTGCGTGATAAATAAATAAAACGGATTAATTTGTTTCATGTGTTTTCAAAAATTATGGAATGATGGAATGTTTCAACTTTCCAATTATTATACTCTTGCTGGGTATCTTCGAAACAGGTAAGATATTCTGTTTTGTTTTTATAATTATGTCGTATGCCCTTGTTTCAAGGGAAAGTCGAAACGTTGCAGAAGTGCTCAACTCGCTTATAGATTATTAACAAAATATGTTATGAACATTTTGAAACATTTTGATTAATATGTCATGAAGTGATGGATATTCTCAAAATTACATGATTGAAATAAAATGAATAAAACCTTCATCCAAATTTCTCAAAAAGGTATTTTTTGATAACTGTGGCACTTGTTATATTTTCATTTATTTTTATTTTATTCATTGATTCTAGAAGTTTCTGGAAGTATATACCTAAAATCAAAAAACAAAATAATTCAAAAATACTTCAATCAGTATTTTTGTAAGATCAGTCAGCCAATGCCGGAGAAAGCATTTGTAAATTATTTTCTACGTATTTTGCTTAACGAAAGTAATAGTAATAAGATCACCATTATTATTTCATAACCAAAACAACAGTCAAAGCCAAACATCTTGCAGGAGAGCATCTAATAAAAATACGAATAAACACCTTGCATAAAGAGTTTCTTCACCTATTCCTCAGAAGATATCAATAATTTGATTTAATTTCAGTCTAACAAATACTCTTTATATTTAGTTTTGAACTTTGTGAAATTTTTTGAGGGGGTTGGGGAACAGAATTATACTTTCGACAAATTTGGTAGTACCTCAAAGACTGCCTGGACACTTCTGTTTTGAATTTTGGCATTGCAATCATATTTTTATATCGAATATTGAAGTTACGGATGTCCGTACGATATGTGATTTTCCTATGAAGATTAGAAGGTTTTCTTTGTTACAATTATTTTATGGAAAAAACAGATAGCGTGAAGTAACCTTCTTTTCTCCATGTTCAGCCATTCAATTTCTCGAAGCTTATATGGGATCCTGTGTCGCCGACCAATATCAAAAATTAACCTAAGGCACGAGTTTTGAACTTTTTGAAACTTATTTTTGTATTGATTGGTTGAATATGGGCCATAAAATAGGCACGTGGTAAGAGTTTATTTACAAATTTTTCAAATCTCAGATCTACATCCATCAAAACACCAAGATTTTTTGCTTCACTAACAATATCTAGTGGCTCATTTCGAATGCAGATATTCGCAGAGTAGTTCACTATGGAACGGTGAAATCTTGAACCAAAGATCATTACATTTTAATTACTAGGGTTTATAAATAAACAGTGGTCCGTTGCCAATTCAACAAATCTATTTATATCTGCATTGATGTCACAAACATTGTCTGCCATTTTCGCCGGAAAGCTGTAGTATATTCAAGTATCATCAGCATATAAATGCACCTGACAAGTGTGAAGAGCCTGTAGTAAGTTGGATATATATATAGAGAACAATAATGGGCCGAGTATGGATCCTTGAGGTACTCCTGATTTGATATATGAGATATTAGAGTTGTATTCCTTTATACTAACTAGTTGCTGTCTATTTTTCAAATAGTCCGTTATTAATGCAAGAGCGTTAGCAGAAAAACCATTATAATCCAAAATGCTTAACAAAAGATTGTGATTAACAGTATCAAACGCCCGACTGAAATCTAGTAGGACTAACACCGTACATTTGTTTTCATCTATTGCTTTCGTTATATTATCATCCGCAATATGTAGAAGGGTGATTGAACAGCTATGCCCTTTCCGAAATCCCGATTGAACAGAAGGCAACAGAGAAAATTTCAAAATATGGTTTTCAAGTTTAAACTTCATGGCTCTCTCCAGGATTTTTGACAATACAGGCAGGATACTGATACCCCTCAAATGTTTAAATTACATTGGATTTTGTGTTTTAAGCAGAACCTTTACAATGGTTCTCTTCCAGATAGTTGGGCAGAAATTCTCAGTTAAACAGAAATTTATGATATGGGTGATATCAGCTTAATACTCAACCCATCGCATACTTTAGCGTTTGTTTTTATTTCCCTAATAGTTTTGTAAACAAACACATCGTTAATTTCGTCAAAATTGATTTCAGTATCAACCGTTTCTTAGTTTTATAAAAATTCAATAAATCTTGCGGTGGTTCATTTCGTGGAACTGATTCTACAAAATACCTATTCAATTACTGAGGGTTTTTCAAAATTTCCGGTATATTATATTTCTATTCAGGTATGAACTTATTATACTTGAGAGTTTTCCACATGTCCTTTGGTGAAGTGTTATCAAATTTATGGGCGAAATAAGCTTTTATTCTCTTTTAATAGCCTGGTTGATGATGTCGCCTTTGCCTTTGTAATTTTCTTCTCTCAAATTTTGCCAGAGCTTTATCTCTTTCAGCAATCATTATTTTTATCACATCCGTCATTATTTTATTTACATCCGTCTTGATAGTGTAATCATACGGAAGTTTCCAGGTCCGGACGACATACCAGGGCTATTTACAAAAAAATGTAAAAATAACTTGATACCACCCTTTTTACATCCCTACGTACAGGAATATTTCCTAGTAAGTGGAAATCGTCAAGCCGCTCCTCAAAGGTGGTGTTAAGTGTAATATTGAAAATTATAGACCTATTAGCAAACTATGCATTCCCGGAAAATTGTTTAAAAAAATTATGCATGGAACTGTTATAGGTCATACACAAAATAAGATAACAGAACAACAACATTGTTTTTTCCCTGTTGATCCGTTGATACTAATTCAAAAGAGTTTACATATTATGTGATAGAGAGTATGGATGATCAAATGCAAGTGGGTGTGATTTATATGGATTTGAGCAAGACTTTAGACAAAATAAGTCATTACCTGATCATTGAAAGATTTGCGGAGATCGGCATAGATCAGCAAGCATCTTCTGGTGTGAATATTGTGATATACTACAGGAAGGTATCAAGTTGTGGATGTTAACGGTTACCAATCAGAACCTTTTGCGGTTACATTCAGGTGTGCCACAGGGGAGTCACTTGGGACCATTATTCTTAATAATCTATATTAACAATATTGTTGAAGGATTCGAACATTCCAACTTTTTACTATATGCAGACGACATCAAGATTTATTGAACCATCAAAGAATCCAGGACTGTGAGATATTGCAATATAGGAAATCATACAATTAAAATGGACAACACTTGGTTGCCAAAAGAAAGGAATACATACATATACATACCATAAATATGCATTAATATTTGTTACAAAAAGGATTTGAAGCTTTATAACTCCTATTTAATTATATGCGAGCGCTTTCGACAGCTGGTCGTGCTGTCATCATCAAGGCTATACTCAAACTCAGTTTGGGTATCGCTTACCCCTGAACGTTTATATATTGTTTACTCACCATCTTTCACATGTAAATTGATATTTTTTTGGTTCAATGTGTTTGTATCCCTAATCGTGCGATAAATAAATAAAAAATTATCAATTAAAGAGTTGGATCAAGATCATTGCACTCTAATCACTGAGTTAGGCGAACAGTTGAAAGATATATTTTTTTCCTTTTGTTCTACAATTATATCTAAATATCTGTATACAGTGTTTATTTAAAAAATGTTGAAATTGGATATATCAGAATTAGAAGAACCTCAATTTGAACCGATACTGGGGGCATTAGAAATCACTGAAAACAGATGGAGTTTTCCAACGAGAGAGACCATCGAGAGAGAAGTTGGATATTTTTTTCTCTCAAAAATCCACCAAAACATTTCTATAATCTATAAGGGGAAAATGTGTTCTTCTGATATTTCATAAAGGAATGTAAAAAATTGATATAGTTCATTCATTTATATACATTTATGTATCTTAAATGATATAATTAGTTTCAGGTGGTGTGCTAAATATCCATTGTTATAAATACTTGGTTTGGAGCTGTTTGCCAGATTGTCACTCACGCTTTTTTACCACGAAATTAATTTTTTTGTAAATAGATTTATTCTGATTTCAGACTTAGTGAAAGTCATTAGTTACATCAAGCCATAGGACTTGAATCAGTTTCGAAATAGTTTTGATTTTTTAGTTTGTGTTGCTATTAAAGCGCGTTTTTTTAGGTTTTTAAACTATTATTTCTTTTCTACTTTTTAGTTCACCTTGCATTTACAAGTCCATTTGTTTTAATATAAAAATATATACGCATGCACAGACGATGTGGTTATCTCATTTGCTCTCACACAGAGACTGTGTGAGAAAATTATTTAATCCCGGCGATTTTGATCAGGATAATGAGATAAACTTATGAAATTATTGTATTGTCAGCGATTTTTGATACGTGTACAAAGTTTAAAATACATCTGTCCGTTTGAAGTTAGTCAAAATCGAGTCCAAAGAAGTCGGTTACAAAGAAATATACAAGTGAAACTATTATAAGCGTGTTGAAGAGAACAATATTTTTAGTAAAACTTTGACACCCCGTTACTAGAAAACGAAGCAAGTTAGGAAACACGTTCATATGAACTTTTTTTCATAAAATATCAAAAGTAATCACCATCTGTAAATAATGATGACATTTAAGATACACCCTGTTATGGTACGGTGTACGGCACGGTACTCTCTTTAACTTCACTATTTACTACTAATAATTTCAATATGTAGGTCAAAGCATTCGTTGCTATGAATGTGCATCTCGGCTGGGACCAGGAGAATCAGACCCTTGCCTGACTGGAGAGGGATATCAACTACGAAGGGTTCACTGTATTGGACCTTCTGTATGTGCAGCCTACCTTTATCAGAGTGAGACAATTTTAATGTTTTTTTATTTTGACAAATAATGGTCACTTTTCAGTGCAGATGTCAAAACTAATTTATTTCGACACCAACTACGAGAAACGAAAGACATATTTTTTTGAGAGAAACATTAGTTTTTTCATGAGGCTTTTTTGACGTTTTTCTATGGAATTTTAACTAATCTTAGACAACCGAATATTCAACATTCTTAGAGCTATTGCAACTTAACACAAGATATGTCAACTCGCATTTGCCTTAGGAAATCATTGAACCACGTCAGTGGAGGTTTCATGGTGACCCTTTTTTTCAGAGGGAATAATTAAAGAAAAGTTTTTCAGATTCGCTTGTGGGTTGTGGTCAAAAACTCCAGTCGGAAACTTGCTGTGACATATCACATTCCAATCGGTTTCAGACAGGCCCTGTTAGAATGGTAAAACAATCAATTAGTACATGTTTCGATCCCATATAGGTTCATCATCAGCTAATTATTTAGAATTCTATAATAAAAGAAGAACAACATAACAGTAGTTAATGCAATGGAGTATAAAAAACTTACTTGAGATATAATGGACTTCTACCACAGATTGAACTTCTTTAATTTTTGTAACACGTTAGTTACATTTGAAACGTTGAAATATTATTTGTCATACAGTTTATTGTATGATTTTCACTTTAATGGGTTTTACAAAAACCGCGACACGTGTTTCGCTATACAATAGCTTTCTCAAGCGTAAAATAATAAGTTACTTCTAAATAACAACTATTTTATACTTTAACATATTACCCATTTGTATGTCTACTTTCTAATTAATAAATCTGCCGGAAAAGGTCAGGTATAAATTCATTAACTATAGAGGGTTGCCTTTTACATTTCGGGATAAGAAAAAAAAACAAATATCAATAATCGAAAATCATTTTATTGTTTTTCAAAATATTTCCCATGAAGATCTATACACTTTTGCATGCGTTTGAACCAATTATCGAAGCACTTTTTTCACTCTGATTGGGGTATCTACAAAACATGCATTCTGAATGCAGCAACCGCTTCGAAAAACGTTGACCTCTCAGTTTGTTTTTTACGTGCGGGAATAAAAAGAAGTCATTCGGTGCCAAGTCAGGACTATACGGCGGATGACTCATCAAATCGATGTTTTGGGTGGTCAAAAATGCAGTTGTTTGAGCCGATGTGCGAGACCTCATATTGTCTTAGTGAAGAGTGATCCGTCTTCCGCGGTTGGTTTTCCTGATTTCTTGGAAGGCAACTGGCAAACAAATGGTTGTGTACCACTCAGAATTGACTGTTCTGCGTGGTTCTAGTGGTACGGTTGCGACATGTCCAGTTCATCCAAAAAAACAGGCGACCATTTGTTTGGAAGTGCTTCATGCCCGAACAACTTTCGTTGGATTTGGCTCATTTTGAAACACCCATACAGTCGATTGCTGTTTACTTTCGGGCTCATACGCGTAAATCCACCTGTCACGATGTCATAGACATGTTTTGAAGCACCGTGATCGTACTTTTTGAGCATTTCCTTCGACCAATCGACACGAGCCTTTTTTTTGAGCGATTGACAAATTGTGTGGGATCCAACGCGAACAAACGTTTTTGACAGTCAAATGTTTATGCAATATTCAATGTATGCTGGTCCCACTAATGCCTAAGGTTGTCTCAATCTCACAATAGGTCACATGACGATCTTACAATATCAGTTCGCGCACAGCAACAATGGTTTTCGGAACAACTGATTTTGGACTTTCACAAAATTCGTCTTGGAGTGAACTACGACCACGATTGAATTCACCATGCTATCGATAAATACTGGTCCTTGATGAGGCTTCATCGCCAAAAATTGAATTAAGTTCATCCATGCACTGTTGCTGAGGTAATCCACGTTGAAAATTGTAAAAAATAATCTCACGAAAATGTTCACGATTTAATTCCATTTTTGGGCCGAGACGAATATTTTAAGTTACTGTAAACAACACAAATAGCGTATGTATGTCAAAACGTTCTGAGTACGTATAAGCTCAACTTTACAATAGAGCTGTCAGTTGCCAAATTGCAACATTAGGGTTGCCAAATCCCGAAACATAAAAGGCAACATATCGCATGAATGACTTAAATTTAAGAAAGTACCGTAATTATATTTAACTTTTTCCACCTGGAAATAAACAGATTCAATAATGGCGAATGATTCAGTTCAGTTTGATCGTTAATAAGATATTGAGAGTTTTTCAATTTGTTCATTTCCATACTGTCCAACAGATTAAGTTTCAAACCTTTCTTCTGGAAATGGAGAGGCTTGAATTCATGGTTGAACTCATGTCCCCCTGTGATTAAATGAGTGATATGTGGAGTTTATTTTTCCATTCTGGAAACCATTTATGTGTTTCTCTATGCGGGATTTGAACGTTCTTCCAGTTTGACCTATATAAAACATCGAACCTGCGTGATAATTTATACACTCCCGATTTTTCTGAAACTGAGCTTTCATCTTTGTTATTTTTAATATGCATGTCTAAGTTGTTTATGGTTTTGAAAGCAATATTCACATATGTATTGTGTACAAAATTTGAAATATTCGTAGTGAGTTGTTCTAAGTAGGTTCGGGTTCTATAACTCTTATCCTCATCTCTTCGAGTTGGATAAACTTCCTTCAAAGCTTGTTGTATAACGTTTTTGATAATAGACAATGTATTAGACTGCAATCGTAACCCTTGTTGACGACTATTTGTTTTATTATGTTCAGTTCTTTATTGAAATTCTCATCTGACAAGGGAACATTTATCAGTCTGTGGATCATAGATAATATTGAATGCTGCTACTTTGTGCTGACAAGGGTGGATGGACGAATTGTGAATGATAATATCTGTATGTGCTGGTTTACAATAAATTGAAAAATCATGTTTATTGTTAACTTTTGTTATTGTCAGGCCAAGTTACTTGAGTGAGAGAAAGCAGTGTGTCAAAGTAGGTAATACTTTGAGTAAATACGAAATGATGAAGTTTGGGGTACCTCAAGGCACGATACTTGGTCCAACTCTTTTCACAGTACATCTTAATAACCTGTTTAATCTCTACACTGATGGGACAATTATAAGCTACGCAGACGACACAGCAGTTTTTTATGAAGCCGAAAACTGGAACTCGCTCATCACTAAAGCACAAAATGACTTTAGAACAATCATTGACTGGCTCAATTTTAAACTATTGACTATAAATTTTTCTAAAACAAAATATTTAGCCTTTTCACTGAATAACGAAAACTTACCCAGTCTTCAACCCCTTGAAATCAGAGGTGAAAACGGCATCGTGAAAATCACACAAGCTACAGAAATAGAGTATCTCGGTGTAATGATAGACAATCATTTGAAATGGAACTTACACATTAGGAAGTTAGTGCAAAAAATCAGAAGCCTATTGTCTAAATTGAAATATTTAAGAAACATTCTTGAAGAAAAACATCCCTTAATGCTGTACTGCGCATTAGTGGAATCCCAACTGCGATATGGCATAATAGCTTGGGGAGGGGCATATAATAACATTATAAAAAATGTTGAAATAATTCAAAAATGGATTTTGAAAATAATATTCAGAAAACCAATTATCTACCCATCAGATGACCTTTACAAGCTTGACAATATCTTAGATGTAAAACAAATATTTCATTTGATACTTGCTGTTGACCAGAAAAAAAAAACCGGAGCAAAATATTTCTAGATTATTCCTACTCCACAAGGTCAAAAAAACTTATCATTTCAGTTCCACATGTGACTAAAACTATATCCCAGAGATCTAGCATGTTTCTTGGGCCAAAGATATATAACGATCTACCGAATGAATTGAAACAACTAAACTCATTATCTCTGTTCAAGAAGAAGTTGAAGTTATGACTGATTTCAAGATCTAGAATTTTAACACATCGTTTAGTCGATATAAAAAATACATACTATGATTGATATTGAAGATAAGGTTATTTAAAATAATTTCTTTCACACACTCGTTCTGTCAGATTTTTCTGTGGAAATCTGAGGCATGTCATCATCACATCAACACAAGTTACACTTTCCTGATTTTGATGATCGTGCTTGCCCCATATTTCATGATCAATTTATGACGTAGATATAACGTTTGAAACGATTATTTTGTACTAATTATCCTTACTTGACAACAAATTATAGTTACAATTCGTATACTCTGCTAAATACTCTCAATCTTATCGTTATGATAACCTGAATAGTAATTTCATTTTTATGGAATTTTTGGTATTATTATTTAGTATCATTTCCTTGGAAAATAATTATATTATTTACACTTTTGTTAAGCCATTTTGTTCCAACTTTGGTCTACTGCTCTTTTTATAATTAAGCTATACCTGAAACTCTCAAGCTAGTTGAAAACACATTCTTCTGGTTAACCTGTAATCTTATTTTTACCCTTGTTTTCTTTTCCATTAATTTGACTGCATTTCATTTGATTCGTCAACATCACACCATAATAATATGTCACCATACACAAGCTAATAATATCAGCTTCGGTGGATTTTTTGTTTATTCTAAGCCTCATATTACTAAGTTTTTTAGAATCATTTCATTTTGTAACAATAGAAGGTCTGTATTTTTTTTTCGCTATTTATGAATAAGCATTATTATTATTAATTGATGAAATTAAAGAACTTAGTCAATTGTCTGTTCGGCCAGTTCTATTGAATTACAATTTTGTATTACGGTTACATATTATCAAGGATTTTATGGTTTTTTATTTCATTGACTTTTAGGTATCATACCTGGAGCTCCAAGTATTAATCACGTTACACGTGGTTGTCAGTCCATCAGGTATGGTTCGACCTGCGAAGATATATTCAATGAATTGAAGTCGAAAGGTGAAATATTACCAGGGCAGCATACTTGCAGCACTTGCAGTTCTGATCTATGCAATACATCCAGTAGATTGAACTACTTGTCGACCATGGTCTTGATATCGTTTTCTTTCGTCATCAGGGTAGGTCTCAGCTGAATTTGAAATGTTTTTACTTAAATTGATAATGTAGGTAATTGTTTTGAGAGAGAAGGAACAATAAAAAAATAGATTTGAATATATTTACGCAGTTGAATGTTCAATTAAGATTCAGCGACGTATCTAATTTTCTGTAAGGAATAACTTTAAGATTTTGAAGTGTGTATTGAATTTCAGTGCTTTTCACAAACCATTGTTGTTTCTATCAATACAATCTTATCACTGATTCATACTGAAGATGAAAACAGTAACAACAAGTCATATATTGTTAAGTATATTCAATGAGAAATGTAAGATTCAAGACATTGTTACGTTGCTATTAAATTTCTAACGCCAACATGATTCTTCAATTACGTCTCAATTTTCAGTAGTGAGAATTCTCAAAACTAGAACCATAAGGGGATAATTTAAATACTTTCTCTATAGGTTTGTTCTGTTTCTGGTTCCGAAACTGTTTGGAAACAGCGTAAGACATGATACGTACAAGCAAAAAAAATCCCAAATATTACGAAATAGTCTCGAATTTCGGATACTTGGTTAAACCAGAAAGCATTTTGCGGAGACCACTGTGCCACCTATCATATATATGAAGAGAAAAAGACGAAAAAATACTGTTAATCATGTCCGTTTTTTTATGTAGCGTATCCTTCTAGTCAGTTCAAATGTTTTCTAACCTCAATCACCAATCATTTAAATCAAATAAATAAAAAAAACATCCTAGAAAATAGCCCAAACAAATATCCACATGAATGCGCATGAGCAACGGTAACAGTTCTCAACAGTTCAGCCTCGAGAGCAAGAACAATTCGGGACGGTTCAAGACAGTTTAGGATCATTTCGCAGTTGAAACCAGAACAGAGGATTCATCAATCCGAAATTATCCTCAATAAACCAGAACGCTCTATATCAACTGCGCATGATCCTGACGTCCTAGAACCTGAATTTCCTAGAACCAGAACAAACCTCATTTGTTTATTGAATAGAAAATTAATGGCACACAAGGAAGTTTCATAGAAAGTTAAAGGGCGTTTGACAACATTGATTGAAAAATGTTTACATCATTCAATAATATATAGAGTATTTTTTTAATGGTCAAGTTTGTAAGCATGATAATGGTGTTCGAAAAAAAGTTTGATTTATTTCACACACCTCATACAATAGTTGTTACTGACAGAAACGTTTCTGTACTCTTATGTTCATTATTGAGTATTCAAGATGAACATATATGATGGGCTGAACAGTTCGTAGGCTAACACACAGATGGTGCTACTAGTATTGAACCCATACGATTTTTAGTTAACCCTAACCTTCAAAAGACACATGTACAAATTTCACAGCTGTAGGATTATTAGTTTGTGGGATAGAATATTTCGAGTGAAGCAACTTTTTTAAGTTTGACGAAAATGGATAAAAAGGAATTTCGTGTGATAAAAAAATACTGTTCAAGCCAACGCTTGGCTTGACAGCAGAATTGAAATGATCGTCATCTGAGTGGACTATACGTGGTGAACCGACTTCAAAGCGTGCAAAGACGCAACAGTCGGTTGACAAGGTTATGGTATCAGTATTTTGGGATTGGCATTGTGTAATATCCAACTACTTCCTGGGCCCTAGTGACTTTTTCCGTTCTCAAACATCAAGAGAATGCTCGCTGGAAAGAAATTTAGCACCGCTGAAGAGGTGATCGTCGAAACTGAGGCCAATTTTGAGGCTAAAAACAAATCGCACCACAAACATGGTATCAAAAAATTGTATGATCACTATAATCGTTATATCGCCTTCTTAGGAAACTATATTGGATAATAAAATCAAATTTCATAAAAAAAAACTTTTTTCATTTTAGCCTACGAACTTTCCAGCACTGTTACTGTTATAGTCTATACGAAGTCAATCCGAATAGCTAAATAAAAGACTAATGTGACAGGTATGATAAATTTACTAGTTGATACCATATAAAACCTCACACAGAAAAATAATGTTTAGACCTCGTAATTATGCCACGCCGCCGATGCCATACAAAGAAACTGCCGAAGTTCGAATTGACTTCGTATATACTATATCTTACATTCTGAAAGTGATTGTAATCTCATGTACGGATGTTATTATATTTAAATTACAAACTTGTTCTGGTGAAACAGATCAGAATTTTTGAAGTTATATTTAGGGTCGTTTCATAGTTGGTCATTATGTTAGTTATAATTAGTAGTCTAAGTAAATTATACATTAATGTAATTAAAAGGTACGTATCTACCTGTAGTTATCCTGTTTCAATCACTGCCATTATTATTATTTTGATGAATAAACATTCAGAGTTTTCTTGTTTTCATTATTGACCCGCTTATTTGATTTTTAGTATGTCACGTCTATTTATCACCGTTTTAATATTTCGAAAATATACTTATTTCATCTAAACTTTGGAATCAATTAGCCATATATTGTTTAGAAAAATGACTAGTGATATTTTCCGATTCCGCAGAGGGAGCCTGAAAATCAGCTAACAAGCCCAAGGCAGCAGGCGCGCAAAGGAGGGTTACAAATAAGGCAGCAGCCGCGCCTGTTTACAAAAAAAAAAAATACTTTTTTCAAATGAAGAAATACGTGTAAAGTGAGTTCGAATTATATCAAGGAGGTGACGGCAGCGCCATCTGCCCGCGAATATATCAAGCAATAATGTCGATATATCAAGGAGGTTACGTACAGCGCCATCTACCCGCGAATAGATCAAGCAATAATATCGATATATCAAGGAGGTTACGTCCAACGCCATCTGCCCACGAATAGATCAAGCAATAATATCGATAATTCTGTCAAATACAGATCCCGAACTTGAGAATTACAATCAAACAAAAATACATACATACAGGTGAAGCTAATAAAAGCGTGTTAAAATGAATTAGCGTATGTTTACAAGTGTGTTAGTTTAGAAGAATTTCTATCTGCTTCTCCTGCTAGTTATCATAAAAAAACAAAATGTCTCGATTATTTAAACTGAAGGGAAACAAAGTATCAGATGTATCCATGAAATTACCAAAATCATTTTTATGGGTTGAAGATATCCTTAAGATATAAATACAAGTGAAAAAACTAAACATTTTCGGAATAAACAACCTCATACAAAATGACCCCCATTCCCATTCTCAAATAGTACAGGTTATAATATTTGGAAGGGTTACTTGGAAACGAACTGAGTATTTTTCTCCATTTTTTAAGCACCCTGTATCTATATTTATTGAAATATTACGGGAAATATGTTCAACTGGGCCACATTCAAGGAAAAATCCAATCTGAATGGAATAATGAAGGTTTATTGTTCAATGTAAATAAATTAAAAATCTGTCAAGAACCGTTAAGAAATAAGGTAAATGTCCAAATTCCGCGGTCTACATACATTCGATTAGCGTAGGGCATCAAGAGTTCTTGCCAAGTGATCGTACAGCCAATAAGGATTATCATCTTGAAGTTATCCGTCGCTTGTAAGAAGCAGTATGAAGAAAACGTCCAGTATTGTGAAAAACAATTCATGGCTTCTGCATCACAATAACGCAACTTCTCACTCGTCATTGCTTGTTCGTAATTTTTTGGCCCAAAACAACACCGTAATCTTACCTCAGCTACCGTATTCTCCAGATTTGCCCCCCTGCGATTTTTTTCTGTTCCCAAGATTGAAGAGACCCACAAAAGGATGATTTTTGAACAGACAGCGTACATATGGTGCTTCATTGAAAATGAGTAGGTCGACATCGACTGAAAATAGATAATTTGATTTAACCCAACCTATAACCTGAAGTCATTTCAGCCGAATTGCCATCATTGAAGGTAAATTTACTTTTAGTATTGCATCCAGGTGGCCATAATCGGAAGTAAACTACACATTTAGCATCAAACAACCTTGTAGAGAAAATTTCTCAATCCCTTGATAACAAGGACGTTGCGGTTGCTGTATTTCTCGATATTGAAGGAGCATTTGACAATGCACTACCTGAATCTATAGGATCAGCCCTGGCTGGAAAAGGCTTAGAATTGACCATACCTCGATGGATCTATGCCATGATGTTTAACAGAACTGCAATTACGACTCTTCAAGACGAGGACATTAGGATTAGGGTCACCAGGAGCTGCCCTCAGGGTGGGGTATTATCTTCCCTTCCGTGGTCAGTCCTGATGGATAGTCTACTTGATGCCCTCGTTAGAAGAGAAGTAGATATGCTAGCTTATGCAGATGACCTTGTCATCTTGACAAGGTCCAAGTCGGAAAGGGAAGCGTGTAATATCCTCCAAAGTTCGATGGATGTGGTGCCAGAGGAAGCAGATGTCTGTCAACCCCAGCAAAATTGTAATAATCCCCTTCACCGGGAGGAAAAAGTTGGACGATTTAACACCACTTTCCCTCAATGGTAAGTTCATTCCATTTGGAACGAAGGTGAATATCTTGGCATTGTCCTTGATAAAAGACTCACCTGGAACGCTCCCTTGGAAAAAGTTTTACACAAAGCCAGACTGTCTCTATGGACATGTCGAAGGATTTGTGGTGAAACTTGGGGTTTAGGTCCCAAACAAATACATTGGATTCTCAGACCAATTAACACTTATGAGGCAATTGCCTGGTGGCCAAAAGTTTAACAGAAAATGGCTCAGACGAAATTTTCTGGCTCACAGAGACAGGCTTGTCTAGCTATATGTAGTACCATCAGTACCACACCGTCAGCGGTCATGTAGATCCTTCTAGAACTACCTCCTCTCCACATTTTTCTGGAGAGAGAGCCTAAATGGACTGATAGACTTGTGCACATCGCCAATTACACAAAGCAATCTAATGAAGAGTACTCTTGACTGCTGGCTGACACTGAAAGTCACAGAATTCTGGGAATGACCTCTGACATTATGCCTCCAACTGTCAACTACGAACGAAATTTCAAGAGCAGATAGTTGTTGGTTCACAGATGGATCAAAAACACCTTCGGCTCTGGTGCAGGTGTTTTCAGTTGCAGACCCAGGACAAAGATGTCAACCTGCCCAGGGACCTATGCGACTGTATTTCAAGCGGAAATCTATGCTATTGAATTGTGTGCGGAGAGATTGGAAGAATCTAACCTCACACACAAGTCAATAAAAATGTTCGGACAGTCAAGCGGCATTGAAATCTCTTGGCTCCTACCCAGCAACGTCTATGTTGATAGCAAATGGCCAAAAACGGATCTCCTCAATAGGAAGAGTTAACAAATTGTCTCTGGTCTGGATTTCCTGGCCACACTGGCCTGGAAGGCAATGAGGCTGCTGACTCCCTTGCAAAGGAGGGTGCAGCAAGTAGCTTCATCGAACCAGAATCTGTCATTGAAATTGCTTTAAGTTTTGCCAAACAAACATTGAACACCTGAGTGGCAAGAAGATTTGAAGACTTCTGGCAATATCTTACAGGATTGGTTGATTCCAAGGCGTTCATTCACCTCAAGTGAGTCATAAAATTACAATGGCAAAGTTTTTATAACTAGTATGGTAGATAGAAATGAGACAAGGTGGCAAAGTTACATTCTCGTATCTTATTATCTTTTAACAATTTTTTACAAACATTTTCCGAAAAAGAATGATTAAATTTAATGATACTTATTTGAGATTGGTATGAAGATTAGAAAAGAAAAAAGATTAGAAAGGAAAATATTGGATGTCATAGGTAGCCACGATGCATAATATTTTAAAATTGTTCTACTACTCATAGTTTCTTTTAGACAACAAAACACACACATAGATAATGACAGTAAAAATAGCTCTATGAGCAGACAGTAAAAGCTTCTTAATTATTTCGTCAAAATAATGTATACTCGAAGTCAAAAGTGAAAATGTTAATGATGACATTTGAAGAATGTCATAGACATCCAAGGAATGCTGCTGCTAACTTAATGAGCGACACCCATTCTATAAATATTTTCTGTATATTGAGATTCATCAAAAATGAAGAGGCTGAGATTAAGTAATGTTGAGGTTGATAAAACGGTTTCTTCAAAAGAAAATAGTCGAAAACTTCAGATGTCACTAATCAGCAAAAATGCTGTTTCGACCCACCAGGTATCATCAGTGTGACTAGATTAAACCACTGAACTGTTCCAACAGACACAAGATTGGAAGTTGTTTTTGGAGCAGTTCGATGGCATGGCTTTGCAACTGATCGCCTTAGGGAGCCTCGTTTATTTTTGATATTCAAGAATTGAGTCCTCTGTCGATCCCATAGATGGCGTTTTTGTCAAAGGATATGTTATCGCCTTTAATTTAAATATTAGTTACACCAATATATGTAGAAACATTGAATTTCTTCAATTTAATTATAAGACTAGGAATAGCACATTGAAAAGTAGGACCTCGTTAAAACTTAGCTCGCACAAGTTTTAATTTTTGAGGGTTGTGATTCGAAGGGGGATGACATATGATCAACGGAGAAACATATATCAAACAGAATTTTTTCATTCTAGGTTGCGACAAATGACGATTTACAAATAACGGTTTATTCAGTGAGCAAAATACTCGGTATCGTGCTAACAAAATCAGTAAGCGATGAGAGAGGGAAATTTTAAAAAAGGTTTGGCATAATGTCTGAGCTGGTATCGCTGAAAGCCTAATAACCAGGCCAATATCATTTCAAGGTCAGTTAACAGGGATTCGGTAACTGAATTCCTTAAAAACAAATCGAGGGCCATCTTAATAACCTACTTTTGGTGAACCAGAACGCGACCAGAAAGTGAAACAATTTCGAAAATACAACCCATGTCATTCACCTGTACTGAAAAAAAAACTAATTTACCTACCGAGTCTGATAAATTTATTATTTAATTTAAGAATCTTTTTTTGAAAATTCACTATAATTTTTTGACAGTCATTGATAACAATCTTGATAATTGATGACAATCCGTTTATCAATTACTGTCAAAAAAATTCTATTTAATACCTACCACATGAAACCTCCCACATAAAAATGATTGTAATATCTCTAATGATTTTTTAAAGGACAAAACACAAGCACTACAGGAGAATCCTTAAGACGCTCTAATAGTGGTGCCTGTACGAAAGTAACGATAAACATTGGATTTGAGTCGCTGGAAATTAAATTCATTTGGAAAAACCTTCTCAGGAAGTTTATTCCTCATAAACGCAGTTCTCCAGATGAAAGAGTTCTTAAACAATGAAGTTCTAGGTGTACTGACTCGAACCTCAAAACCATGAGCAGCTACAGTATGTCGCGTATTTCTGATATGCACCGCTCTTGGTTGAATCACACGTTAAAAGGTAAGACCTCGTTAGTTGTTAGCTCGCACAAGTTTCTCAACTTCTGAGAGTTGTCGTTCGTATGGGGGCGACAGCTGATTAACGGAAAAACAGATTTTAAACAGATTTTTTTAAACTTGAACACCTCCCGTGAAAGTATCTATAGAAGAGAGACAAATCTCCAATCTTTCTTCGATGTACCAAGCCATCAAGGTTGCACATGATGTTCGCGTCTCCAATCACGCGATTGGCTCTTTTCTGGTTGGAATCCAGGAACTTCGGGGTATGTTTGGGGGCAGAGCTCCATACATGAGAACAATACTCCAAAGAAGGTCTCATATGAGCTTTATAAAGCATCAAAAGTTACTGAGGTGTGCAATACCATTGGTCAAACGACCATAAACTACTACAAATTATCTTTATTGTTTTGTTGCAGATACGAACTCAGATTCAGTGCGTCAATAAAATGGATGCATCTTCGTTGCATCCATTTTATTGACTTAGAGTGTGTTTTTTAAATTGCATTTTTTCAAATACCATACTTTGTAGTATGAATATTGTGTTTTATATAAATACTTTCGAAATATATTGAATAACAGTGTGTTTGTTCCTCGGCCATATACCGAAACTTTTAATGTATTGTTAAAATACTTGTTTGGTATGTTGGTATGTTGTTAAATATTATATCTCCAGAACACTACAGAAATATGTTTGTCTCCTTCTAGGCAAATGTCGAAAAAGTCTCATTTCGACCAAGAAAAATACATTGCAACAATAATTTGTCCTCATTGCGGCTCTGGTAAAAAATTAGATTCGCGTGCTTTTGTTCACTTTTACTGAATAGTCCAGTCATTTTAGGGTTTTTAAACCTCAATCTGCGGAAAAATTCCTACTGAGCTGAATTTTGGTATACACCTTCATTATGGCATTTTAATGAAGATGTGAAAAATCGACATTGATATCGTGCCGGCTAAAAAAGTTGTAAGGGTCAAAAGGTCACGAAAATAAGTTTTTCGCGAATATCTCGCGATCTATACCTCGGAGATCAATAAAGGTCATTATGAAAATTATTCCTCATATGATTATCTACAAAAAATGTCCCTCGCATTTTTCTGTAAATTCAACCGTTTTCGGACTAGAGCGCTGAGAAAGCGAGTAGAATGCACTCACATAGGGTTTTGTATACCGTATACATATAAGGCGTCAACTCTATTGCTTTTTAACAATGTATTCAAGTTTTCTCAAAACTTCTAATTTCTACTCGGGGGTTTTGTGACAAATATACTTTAATCCATTCATTTTAGGTTTTTTAAACCTCAATCTGCGGAAAAAATCACATCAAAACGCTCTGACAGTGTTCTTCCATTATCATCAGTGAATGAATCAGAATGATGCATCCAATATTATTATCAACAAATATTAATTATTTATCAAACAATTTTGGTCAAAATACTGTTGGCATTTTTGATGGTTTCCCCCTTTACCAGTAAAAATATCAAAGCGATGGAACAACTAAAACAGCAATAAGTCCACTCGATGTTTTGTCAGCAAATTTTGATGACGACGAATGAATATAATATAATAATATATACTTTCCAAAAAATTTAAATCAATAACTTCTTGTTTATGAGCTACGGAAAATTTGAAATATAAAAGAAAATTATATTAAAAATTTTTTTTCGTTATTTTTCAATATACAAATAAAAAATTATTGAGCATAAAATGAAAACATTTTATTACAGTTCATGGATTATGCCTACGGAGGAAACCATGTTAAAAAACGCGTCTCGCTTTCTACCTCAAAGGTGGTGCGGAAACGAGTGCATCATCATAATGTTGTCGCTTTCTCAGCGCTGTAGTCCGAAAACGGTTGACTTTACAGAAAAATGCAAAATACATTTTTTGTAGATAATCGTATGAGGAATAATTTTTATTATTATATTTATTGATCTCCGAGCCATAGGTCGCGAGATATTCCCGAAAAATTATTGACCCTTATAACTTTTTTAGTCGGCACGATATCAATGTAGGTTTTTCACATCTTCATTAAAACGCCATAATGAAGGTGTATACCAAAATTCAGCTCAGTAGGAATTTTTCCGCAGATAAAACCTTAAATGACTGGACTAAACCTGGGATTGGAATATAGTATGCATATCTGCTGAGAGTTAAAATGTTCTCAAAGAAGACCCCGTAATCGAAACACCTTTATGTAACCACAAAAATAAATTACCCTCTTGAAATTATTGTTATCACACTTCTAGTCATCCTTATTAGGTTTATCCTTATTAGGTGAAGGTTAAATTAACTAAGTATTTTATTTGATGCAAAGTAGTTACTGGCATTATTTGGCTTTATGAGAGGAAGACATCTATAAAACCGTTGTATACAGTATTGTAAACAGATGTTTATTACTTTATTGGTTATTTATCAACCTTGAATATTGAAACTATATTATCATCCACTATTATGATTCAAATACTTCAGACAAGATGTATTTCATGACTATAAAATTTATCTTGCTTTTCACTTTCGCATTGAGAACAGGTGAGTATAAATACCCAATGTTACATTTTTTTGGGAAAAAGTATTGATTCATAATGTCATTGAAATATAGTGAATGAATTGGTGAACATATTACAATGATTTTGACATATTTTGTGAGGCATATTTGTTCAAACGTACCAGTCTTTTTTACATAATTTTAAGAATTCTTTAATTTTTTGATTTAACATTTTTTACCCTTGGGTCAAGTTGTAATCTCAAAGTGTTAATTATGTTCATTTCTCGTTATTTGAAATTGAAAACTTCACGTTATTGGTATTATACATTACAAGAATATTTCGCTAATTGAGTTTTTTGTGGATATCTGTTTGTAAATAATCTTATTCTTTTATATTTTAATTTTGCATTTTTACACTTGTACATCTATACGTTTTTACATTTTTATTTATACATATATGTATATATATCTGTATTTTACGGTCCTATGTTTATATGTATTGAATGTATATTTACATGTTTGTTTGTTTACATATTTATAAGTATAAGTTGACATGTTCGATACCATGTAGTTGGTCCATGAATGAATAAATTTCTTTCTTTCTTCTTTCTTTCTTCTTTGTTTACGATGGGTAAATTTGCAACTTAACCCTCAATGAAAGGCTTATACGTCTATTGTTAACTTTTCTCTTTTATTTATTCATGACTATATTATTTGGGTTCGAATACCGAGATTTATAAAGATAACGTGAAATTTCTCTGTATTCCAATCTTTTTGAAATTATGGCAATTGTTAACTCCATTCCTTATCAATTTCTCTGTTTGTCGAATTTTGACCTAAGCACCCTTTTTTTCAAGATGTTCGAGGACTACGTGACTTAACAATAATTCCAGCCCATTCTGATAAACTACCCTCTCTCAAAAAGAAATTCGTGAAAATAAAAATTCAGTCTGCATCCGAGAAAACTAGTAACAAGACTTACCGAGTATCACAAAATACAGTTGATCGTTTGCAAGTACCATAGAAACATCTTGTTGCAAGACATACTCTTACCAGATACTGTTAACAATACCAATGTCGTCTAAGTTTTTCACCACACATTTTTTTGTTTTTTATACATTAAGGCTTCTACTATAAACTCATAGTAAATGAAATATTGATTAGATATTAATTTATCTTGTCAAAAATTATTGGTGAAATCTAATTACTTTTTTTTAAATTATAAAATTTGGATTAAATCAATAATTAAAAAACATAAAAAAGATGCGGTAATACGATATTTTTCAGGTTTTTCTTTGGAATGTTATTCATGTGGTTCTCAATTGGGACTGATGGAATCGACCAGCAATTGCGAATATTTTTCCTACTCTAGCGATGAGAAGTATAAAATAATGCAGTGCCTGGATACTGATTCTGTTTGTGCCAAATACATAGTGGAAGGTAAGAAACACTTCAATGTGAGATTTTCACTAAACAGTTTTAAAAAAAACGCAATACATGTTTCGCCATACAATAGCTTCTTTATAGGCGTGTCTGTACTTTTGAGTACAGTACCATCAAAATATTTTGCAATAAAATATTCGTGCTTTATTGATAGATCGCGAATAGCGAAACATATCAAACTTTTTACAATCATCCAAAAAAAAATACCTCTTGCAGACTTCATTGTAACATTCGAAATTTCTGAAATTTGAGCATTTTTTAACAAAAAATGTTGAATCTAGAACACTGATTACAGCTCTTGTATCAATTAAACGGTGAATTTTGTTTTTTCCAATATCACTTTCAATTACTATCGAACTTTAAATGTGATTTTCGGCAAAAATGATACATGTAGTTTTCAAATTTCTTCTATTATATCTGCAGGATTGTTTTTTGTGGCCAATTTTGTTGCACAAATAACAAGTTTTATAGATTCCACCGCCAAAGAAATTATGCGGCGGGGTGTTCCGTTTTATGAATAGCAGTCCTTTGAATAAAGCCCTACTTCTCCACATAGAAGGCATATAATCTGGCCGTCAGATGTACAACCTTATTTTTCAACTCAAAAATGTTGATTATGTCAGGAATCCCTATCACAAAATTTATTTAAATATTTTTGAACCAATCTGTTTGGTTAATGCTCCAGATGTTGGATACGCCTCCGCAGGTCCTCAAGTTCTTCTGCCGTCTTTCAGTTGTTGTCTGGGCCTAGACGAAGGGTCCTCTTCTCTCTAGGATAATAAAGTTACCGTCCAGGGAACATTCCCAGAGCGTTCTGCCGTTCGAATTTTGTGCGCTCGTGCAGTTCCACTCTCTTCCTCTTGCGTTCAGGTCCCCGGCCAGAAGTACCTTCTGACCCACACTAAACAGAATGTCTAAATCGAACGGAGTAAAGTGGTTAGTCGAAGGGCGAAAACGCAGGTCGGCCAGCTTTATACCGGAATGTTCTATACCGCTGCACTGCCTAGCCGCCTGATCGGAATATCCTTATGGATCAGAACGGCTGCACTCTCTCCTCTGGCATCCTGAGCAGCGGCGGCTCGTCAGAGGAGGCAAGGAAGACTTAGCCTCTCCATAAAATTTGAGGCTATTCATCGCAATAAATCAAAAGATATTAACAAATAATTATGACTATTTTTTTCTGAAAATGGTTGGGTATCATTACTTTACCATTAATTTTTAATATAAATACATAATATGCCCGAAAAAAACACTATGACTCACTACGTAGTATGTATATATCACACTGTATCCTGCATCAACAAAACTCAAACGCACCGCCCATGAACGAATAAACCATTAACCCGAAATAATAAATACCATACGTTGCAAGGGAGCCAAGCCTCCGACCGCTTTAAAAAACACAGGCTCCAGGGTAGCTTGTAATATCCTCCAAAGCGCGTTGGACGTCGTTCACAGTTGGTGCCTAGGGGAGCAGATGTCTGTCAACCCCAGCAAAACTGTGTTAATCCCCTTCACCAAGAGAAGGAAATTGGACGATCTAACGCCACTTTCCCTCAATGGTGTGGTCATTCCATTCAGAACGGAGGTGAAATATCTTGGCATTGTCCTTGATAAAAGACTCACCTGGAACGCTCATTTGGAAAAAGTTTTACACAAAGCCAAACTGTCCCTATGGAAATGTGGAAGGGTTTGTGGTTAAACTTGGGGTTTAGGTCCAAACAAATCCATTGGATTTATGTGATGATTGTCAGACCAATGATCACGTATGGTGCAATTGCTTGGTGGCCGAAGGCTTTACAGAAAACGGCCCAAGCGAAGCTCTCTGGCTTACAGAGGGAGGCTTGTCTGGCTATCAGTGGTGCCATCAGTACCACACCGTCAGCGGTACTGGAGATCCTTCTAGATCTACCTCCTCTCCACATTTTTCTGGAAAGAGAGGCTAGATGGACTGCATACAGACTTGTGCACATTGCCAATTGCACAAATCAATTCAATGCAGAGTGCAACAGACTGTTGGTTGACATTGGAAGTCACAGCATCCTGGAAATGACTTTTTGACTTTATGCCTCCAACTGTCAACTACGAACTGCCTCATAAAGTACTGTTCCCGAGAGGACTGGATCCTGCGGGAGAAGGAAATATTAAGAGCAGATAGTTGTTGGTTCACAGATGGGTCAAAAACACCTTCCGGTTCTGGTGCAGGTGTTTTCAGTCGCAGACCCAGGACAGAGTTATCTACCTGCCTAGGAACTTATGCGACTGTATTTCAAGTGGAAATTTACACTATTGAGTTGTGTGCGGAGAGATTGGATAAATCCAACCTCACTCACAAGTCAATGTAAATATTCTCTGACAGTCAAGTGGCGTTGGAAGCTCTTGGCTCCCACCGAGCAACGTCTAAATTGGCAGCAAACTGCCAAAAAGACTCTCCTCGATAGGAAGACTAAATAGATCGTCTCTGGTCTGGATTTCTGGCCATACTGGCCTGGAAGGCAATGAAGCTGCTGATTATCTTGCAAAGGAGGGTGCTGCAAGCGGCTTCATTGGACCAGAACCTGTCATTGGCATCGCTTTGGGCTTTGCCAAACAAACACTTAACACCTGGATGGCAAGAAGAGTTATGGACTTCTGGCAGAATCTTCCAGGATTGGCTCACTCCAAGGCGTTTGTTCACCCTTCGAAGCTTGATTCCAAACAGTTGTTGGAATGAACTACGATGTCTAACAGGCCTTCTAACAGGTCACTGTCATTTGAATCATCACATGCAGAGACTTGGACTGGTCGCCTCTGTCTGGAAAATGATGAAACTGCAGAGCATATACTTTGTGCCTGCCCCACCGGAGACCGAATCAGGTTCTTTGAGTTCGGCAGATCCGTACTCTCACCATCTGACCTGAAAGATCACTCACCATACAAACTAATCGGCTTCGTTAAGAAGCTGGGTTTATTTGGCCGAGTGTGAATAGGTGTGAGCCACAATAAACCCTTATGTGTTGCACTTTAGACCTACCCACCTACCTACCTACCTTGATAACGGAAAGAGCGATGAATGTTATGCATTTATGTTAAAGTTACATCTAGTTTTTCAGATTTAGTTAATTTTCTATTGTCGTATTTATCGATTGAATAATTATTACCATATTATAATATGGTAATAATATAATATTCACTTACGTTTTTCACTGCTAGAATTTACTGAAGAATATGAGAAATAATTATCTTTGTATGATGGACCCATATGTGGTACTGACTCGTTTTCTTTGAACCAAAAAGTTATTGGTATTGTTACACTCGAGGATTTTAATAATGTTTCACTTCTGACAAAATACTATATGTTATTCAATTTCAGATAATGGTTCCAGATGGATTCATAGATCATGCCAACGTTACGACATCTGTTCCCAGTGGAATTTGAAGTACAATACTGGAAGGAATATGTTATTGGAGTGCGAAACTTGTGATGATAGAAATTTGTGCAACTCTAGTACTTTTCGGTTGGCTTCTTCATTTTGCGTGATTTCCTCAATTTTTGCTGTATCATTTATGAAATGAATTTTATATATCTGCTTCGGTAGATAAAAAAATTTAAAGCAATTTCAGTATTAGATGTTTATTCCAATTAAAAATAGAAGAAAATTCATTTCATATCAAAANGATGTTGTGGGTACTTATACTCAGATTCAACCGAAGGTTGGGTCATCTGCGGCGTGTGCCACGGTTGGGCGCATAATTCATGTGCCGGAGTAGATGAAGAGGCACACATTTGTGAACGCTGTCTACACGATTAAAAAGCGTACTCGTTTTCCCCACAGCGTTTCCCATCTTACCCCAGTTATGGGGTGAGATGGTAAGATGGTAACTTGTATGGTGAGATGGTAACTTGTATAACGAGTTTTGTCTTAGCTATCTCATCTTGATCCAGTCTCCCCTATACAGTGTCACCGATAAAGTCCGCATCAAATGGGAAACTTTTTTATTTATCGTTTTATGTGAAATTTGATCTTGGCAGTAGATTTTGCTTAAGAAATGATGTCAAATGGCGTCTACAAAATAGGTCACGTGATTTCCTTAACCTGTCAAAATTGACATTTAAAAAAAGAAACATCGAAAAATGACATTATTCTTCAAAATATCCAAAAATATCAAAGGATAAAAACATTTTCTTTTGTAATTTTATAC